TCATACGACATTCCAAAGTGACGCATATTGAAGGCAATTTCTCTACCGGTAGGGTTGAAGTGACCGTAAATGCACCAGACATTTTTTGGGCTCTAATCAACGCTTCTCAACGCGATCCAGCCAGTCCCTTGGCTGTGGAGTGGACTATTGTCCTCCTTGGCCTCCTTCTCAAACCTGTCATTCGGTCGGATGAGGTGTTACAAGCTGCAGCCGTTATGTCTCAACGCATTGCTGAACTCAAACCCTCGGCCACTTTGAGAGAACAACTGAAATCTGTTATCAACATGTAGTCCTCTGATTAGCTTGTAATTTTGGAATAAAGCCTCAAAGAAGGTTATTTTGCTGGCCTTTTTGTGTCATCATATGATTGTTGCAAAAAATCTTGTCCATCTTTAGCCTTTCATCACTTTTCATCGATTCAAAAGCCTTAAGCACCTTCTGTGTCGAGGACTCGCCAATGCCAAGGTGACGACTGCGACTTTGAAGTTGTTGGATGACCCTCGAATGAAGAGGCTCTTAGATCGACCTGTAGAAGCCGCCACCTTTGCGCAGATATCAAAGTTGTATCCCGATTTTGACACTGCAATTGTTAAACCCCTTCTCGAGGTGGCTAACCTAAGTGTTGCGTCTGTCGTTGATCTGATTCACTTTGCGCTGTCGGAGGATGTGCAGAATTTCTGTTTCGACTCGTGTCTACTGGATACACGACTCATGCTACTGCAACCGCATTTTGTTCTCTCTCAAGTCATCAATCCACTGATGAGATTCGGTGTGAACAATCCCTATCGTGTGATACGTCGATGTCCCAGTGTATTTACAGCAGCAATTATGAAAGTTGGTGATCAAACCCAACTGTCAGCTGCTCTCTCCACCCTGAACATGCTCCTCACTAGGAGAGATCTTAATTCAATTGTAAAAAATTATCCCTGTGAGTGCTTGTTTGCATGGTTACATCACCTCTTTACTGATGCCCTTACAAACGCCTCTACCTTCCCTACCTAGCCGTTTTGACTCGCAGTCGAGAGGACTTACAAACAACACATGACTACTTGACACGTGTCATGGGTCTTGAAAGTTCAGGCGAGATGGGAAGATCGAGAGTAACTTCACGAAGTGCCCATAGCACACGTCATTCTACACATCTACGA